ACACACACACACACACACACATACACACACACACACACACAAACACACACACACAAATACACATACAAATATCCGGCCAGTTAACTCGTGCAGTACGCGTACACCCTACGATGTACATGTATTCTGTGTTAAGCCCCATTCACACTAACACAGTGCACACAACACAACCCAGCATATTTCGCGAGAAAATCGCTAAAACTCAGTCGGATCTTTAGCGAGTAGGCATGAGAATGTTAGCGGTAGGACGGCTTAATCAATATTACAAATGTGGAAATCTGTGTCACCCGGGGCTGCATATTATATTATATAGCTTTAGCACCCTGAGTTTGCTTGAACTAAGAGAAACAAATCGACATAATAATGGTCATTTAGTGCTGGGAGAAAAGTAATATTTCGTCCGTTTGTTTGAGCGAGCTAAAGGAAGCACATCGACACAATGACTGTATTTTAGTTCAGAGAAAATGTAAGACAGACAGACAGACAGACAGACATACAGACAGACAGACAGACAGACAGACAGACAGACAGACAGACAGACAGACAGACAGACAGAAACTTCAGTGTCTAATTAAAGAAGAGGGAACTCTACCAGTGGTGCCATCCAAGGTTCGCTTGAGTAAAAACAATAATAACTTTGAAGCACATCGGCACAGTAATCGTTATTTAGTGCTGGGGTAAAAGCAAGACGGTAACAGGGAAAGTTTAAAAAAGTATAATAGGACCCACCAGTGGCAGGCACCCTCCAACCACCCGCTCAGCACTCCCCTCATTTCCATCTATTCGTCAGCGTCATCCCACAGTCGCCCCTGACTGTTCTTTTCTTTTCGTTGTTCCAGTTAGATTTTTACTGCACTTTGCAACATAAACAGGCCATAGAGTGACTAGGATTAGACAGGGTGTCCAGCAAAAGTTCCTGAAAACAATTACTACCTGGAAACAAAATATTAACTACCCAGCAAATCACGCCCCACACCAGCCCGAAAAAGGGAGTTCATTTGCGCCATCAACAACATACATGTATATTATTATTACATAATATATGGAACGAAAATCACACACACAAAAGTCCAGTCGACAAAATGGAGGATGAACTGACGATCGCAAGCTTGTTCGCCGCTGGATCTAGTTTTAGTAAAGTTTTTACAGCGCTTGCAACTGCATAAGGTCATATGAACCACAAGGGGTGGATGTCATCAGAGAAGTCCAAACAGGGAATCAAGTTTGCTTCGACTATCAAGGCACCCCGGAAATAGCAGTTCACAAGAGTGACAAACATACAAAAGAAATAAAGGAAAATGACGATAATAAGGAAGAGGAAAGAAAAGGCAGCAGTCCCCCCC